TTAACATTTGAAGTATTTAAATAAGATTATTTAACATTTGAAGTATTCAAATAAGATTATTTAACATTTGAAGTATTTAAATAAGATTATTTAACATTTGAAGTATTTAAATAAGATTATTTAACATTTGAAGTATTCAAATAAGATTATTTAACAGTTGAAGTATTTAAATAAGTTGGTCTAAGCGTCCAGTTCTGGGAAAATCTGACCTGAAAACATCAACATTTTAATACAAAACTTTAGCCCTGTAAAAGAAAAATTTGATACGGTTTCTGAAATGTTTTGCGTCTGACACCTTTTGCATAATTTAATGGTAAAAACTTTGCTCAAAATCCTATTGTACACAATCAGATACACCTGATAACAGGGGGCAGAAGACTACACAAAAAATAATCTTGACTTATTGCATAGTCATAAATTATTAATATTAAAAATGTATTTCTGTTTTTTCTTTTTACATATTTTGTTAAAAGGCCAAATAAAGACTTCAAACAAAAAAAAAATGTAATTTTCTGTTTTGTTTTATTCTTGGATCAGGCTTTAAAGGGTTAAAGAGCCCAAAGTATTGAGATGTGAAACTTTTCAAACGCTCTGGTTTGTTTCAGAAAAGGTACAATGGGTGCAAGATATATAAAAAAAATTAGAAAAAGAAACTATTTCCTTCACAAAATGAACATCTTCTTTATTGTTTGTTTCCCAAACAAACTAATAATATGATTAATAATGAATAATATGATTTACCAATAGGATTTCAGCGTGTTATTTTTAAAAAATGAATAAAAGAACACAACCCAGGAGTAAATAACAGCATCAGACTCAGAGAGATGTGTGGAAAATATTCTATTTATTGATAGATTATTAAAAAAAAAAGAAGAAAGATAAATGTTTCCTTCCCAAAATGAACAGCTCTTTCATAGTTTGTTTGATTTCAGCGTGTTACTAATAAAAAACGAATAAAAGAACACAACCCAGGAGTAAATAACAGCATCAGACTCAGAGAGATGTGTGGAAAATATTCTATTTATTGATATCGCCATGGCAACAGCGGGGGGTAATTAAACAGCTCAGATTACAGGTTCAGATTCAACATAAAAGCTTTTCTCACCCTCAACGTCCGGGAAGCCAAAACCTCAATTCAGCGGTTAAAACTTCAAAAATATTCTTGATAGGCTTAAAAAATGAAAAGGACACTATTGTTTTTTGTTTGTTTTTTTACAGGAAAGCCAAATTCTAGCCGTAAAATGCATCCCGACATTAGCTGGTTATTGAATAGTCTGTTCTCTATGTTTAACTCTTTACAAAGTTACATCCTCTATTCGACATGCTTTGTTAAAATCCTCTTTTTTAAGACATTACACACTAAATTTGATTTCAGCTCTAACTGTGCTGTCTTATAATCTAATTTCCAGCTTTCAATCCAGCAAATAAAACACATAAATAATAATATCTACATATCAAAAAACAAGGCACTAGGTTAAATTAAAAGATTCCAGCGGCTGTTAAAACGATTTCAGACACATTTGAAGGAGAAATTAAAACTCTAACACGGAGTTCTTTATTGTTATATTTAGCCGGCTAATGCTAGCTAGCGGCTAACAGCGAGGCCTTCTGTTAAAGCGGCTAAAGATGATCCTATTAACCAGCTATTAACCGTCTACTTTTCAATAATTATGTGGATCAACTGCTTCATAACAGACTAAATGAAAGATGTAAGACATTTCTCTGAGTTTTCCTTGTAATGCTTCAGTTTTAGTGTTGAGTCATCTCAGAAAAAGGAGGCAAAATAGAAATGAAAACTAAAATAATAGTCAGCTACAATTTCTGGTGTCACTCTGTTTTGTGCATCAATATATTATCTTGCTAATAATGACATCAGTCCTATAAAATTCGAATATATATCTAAAAAAAAAAACATAAATAAATGCTGATCATAACTATCACAAAAACAGATTTAATCAGTGTTAGTCTCCATTAATTGAGCGAAAATTTCTGAGGCATTAGTCCACTTCTTTTGGTTTTATGTTTATGTTTATGCATTTTTAAGGGTAAAAAAGCCGGTTCTGAAAGCTTTGAGAAACAAATCATGAGAGAGATGACTCAGCCAAATGGTTCCAAACAGCCTGGATCAACACAGGTTTATTTACGGGTCATGCTAAAGAGATTTTGATTAAATATTTAACGTGTTCACTTCATAAACGTTGAATTTCTTGGTGGATTTCTTTGCTGAGCTACTTCTGCTGCACACATGAAATAGAAAAGGCTAAAACAGGGGTGTCAAACTCTAATTGTAATTATATATGGCCCAAAGACAATTCAAAATTGTATTATACTGTACATTAACAGCTCGTACTACAACTCCCATAATGCCCTGCTGCTGTCAAAAATGACCAAAAGAAAGGCAGAAAACAGGAGCTTTCTGGACAAGATCATTTCATTTAGATATTTAATTCAGAAGGCTGCCAATAGAAAAATGTTTTAAAATAATTGAATGCCATTGATGTGTTTTTTTTATTTATAATTGGATTTAGCATGTCTCCACTATTAAGTTATATATAATGTAATAAGAGTTGCTTGTTCCATATTCAATGTTTTTATTTTTATTTTCACTTTATTGCCTTAAATGCGGGTTATCAAGCATTTAGCATCATAGAGGGGAACAGAAGGAGGCCAACTTAAAAGATAAACACAATAAAAAATAATTAAAATAAAATAAAATAAAATAAAAAAAACAATAAAAATAATAATAAAAATAAAACAGAAATTGGCTCTAGTCTGTCACACTGTAGTGTTAAAGCAAAATTTGGAAAATGAAAAGAAGGCTGCCAATAGAAAAATGTTTTAAAATCTTATTTCATAAATGAATGCCATTGATGTGTTTTTTTTATTTGAAATGTGATTTAGCATGTCTCCACTATTAAGTTATATATAATGTAATAAGAGTTGCTTGTTCCATATTCAATGTGAAAGCAAAATTAATCTTGTTTATATATTAAAAGGTTCATTTGTTCAATCTCGGCCCGCGGCTTTGTTCAGGTTTTAAATTTTGGCCCACTTTGTTTTTGAGTTTGACACCCCTCGGCTACATGATTTAGCTCATAGGTCAAAGGTCAAAGGTCATAAAGCTGAAATCCCCCCGGTTTGAGTCCAGCTCACCAGAGGGAAACAGGACTTTTACAACAACTTTATACCTCCCGTCTCAGAAATAAACCAAAGCCTCAGAAATCTATCTCAGAGCTCATCCAAACAAACAAAAACAGATTAAATAAACATCCTAATTATCGTTAGAAAACTACATTATGCTGCTACAAGGACTCAGTATTCATCAGAACTAAGGACAACAGATACAGAGGCTCTGTTATCTGCTATTTTCCTCTTTTTCTCCCCGAAAACTGGCCTCAGCCTCCATTTCAGGCTGAGTTTTAATCAATTATTTTGGCTTTATAGGTTTTGAATAAAAGAGATAAAACCCAAACAGACGAGGATAGATGAAACCCTCATGACTGAGGACAACAATATGGGCTACTTTTCTCTTTTTCTCACCAAAAACTGGCCTATCCCTCCATTTCAGGATGAGTTGAATCAATTATTATGGCTTTATAGGTTTGGAATAAAAGGGATAAACCCAAACAGACGATAAGAGGTGAAACTTTCATAAATATGGACATACAGGAGAAAAAAGAGGGCATTTTTTTTGCATTTAATGTGTAAATGAAAGGGTTTGAAACTAGTGATAACTTTAAACATTATTCACTATCTTTCTGCTTTAATTTGATCACAAATAGGTTTATTTGCATGTTTAGTAGAACAGTTGAAAACATTAATATTCATTCTCAGTCACGACCAGCTTGACTGACAAAGGTCAAATAAAAATCTAAAACAGTCGGTTTGCTGTTTTCCAACTGTCTGCAAATCAAAATACGCAAAAATACAATTTCAACGCCGGGATAAAGTCCAGGTCTTCCTGGGAAACTAAACGATTAGGAGTGATTAGAGACGATGCGTTCAAAGAGGAGACGGGGACGATTCCTTTAAAGGTAAGAGGGATTTCTCCTTCTTTTGATCATAAAACTCTGGGATTGAATCTGGGATCCTTTAAACATGTAACAGCTCACTCCAAATAAAGGCCTCTTTTTATACAGGGAAAAAATCACAAACAAGTGCAAATAATTTTTAAAAAAGGTACACTAATTTGCTAATAATTATTTCTGAGGTGGATTATGGAAGACAGGAGTTTGGTCCATTATCACCTTTAACTGTTTTACTTTTAATTTCTTCCATAGAGAGAAGGGCTACAAAGGAAAATGGTGGAAAGAAAAGGTTCCCAATAGGACAAATAAAACCTAAAATATGCTTCTGACAGAAGAAGGTGAAAATCTATAAATGCCAAGAAGTTAAAGATGTCTGATAGTGACTCATTGAGAGTAAAAACGTATTTGAAAACAACTGTCATCCCAGTTTAGTGGACATGTTGTAAGATAAATTCCTGCTAGTCATCGTTCCTCCTCATCATCACTTAGAGGTTTACAGGAAGAAGGAATTAAGATAAGATTTTTTTTAGTCCACATTTGGGGAAAGCTGGTCACCTGGGAGTTTTCCAGCTTCCTGGATCCACCAGAGCCAAAACCCAGTTATTTCTCTTGGCCCAAACACTCACAAACGGGGTTATTTCTAACCTCTGAAGACTAACGAGATCCAAGCTAAACATCAACAAGATCAAACTACCAGCGGACGTCTTGTAGGAGACCGGAAAAACCATGAGACCGAGTCCCAAAGCTGCCTAAAAATACAGCAACAAGCCAGAAAAACTCAGCAGAACGCACAAAAAAACTGATCTGTGCAAACTCCTCCAATAAAAACAGCCGGAGACTCAAACTGGACACGACTGGGAGAGCCAATCAGAAACTCTGACCAACAGAAACCAACAGAAACCAACAGAAACTAACAGAAACTAACG